CGGTATGCATTTTATTTGCAGGTTTAAAAGCCCCTTCTTTTGTCAACCCCCAACCCGATATTCGTATGTACTCTCCTGTGGTTATATTTTTGTCACTCAATTGTATGGTTTCAATATCTCTGCCTTCTAGAAGTGAACTTAATTGAAGTATAGCAACATCGTAATCCAAAGCCTTTTTGTCGTATAATGGTGAGACAAAAAACTGTCGAACTCTTCGGATGTTCCTTTTCTCGCTCAGATATGTAATACCACCACGTACACTAAAGTCACTTGCCACAGCATCTTTTGTGCAATGTGCAGCAGTAATCACACATTTTTGTGTTATCAGTGCACCTCCACACGTAAATACTCCAAATTTCGATATATTAATCAAATACGGTAGATGTACTGCGTCTGTTGCATAGCCACCAATAATTCGAGGTGTACGTACTAGTGGTAGTACTGCTGTTGAGTTTGATAAATTTGTTGAATTGGTATTTTGCTCAGAAATGTCAGTTACATTGCCATTAAGCAAAAGTAATCTCAGTAGAAACTCATACATATCTCGAACTATGTAGTAAGCCGGAGTAAGCCGTTCTCATATTTATGCTCTCGTATATATAGAGAACTGCGTAACCCTGAAAGCATGCTAACAGTTTACAACTCAATGAAGTACGATCTTCTAATGACAATTTGAACATTTGGAAACTTTAAATGATGCCAATGTCGAGAACTATTTGTTCAGTTCACAAGTGTTTTTTTTTCGGCTTTGACCTTACTGTTGCTTAAGATATTCCACACTAAAACGCTATAAATTCATACACTCCGTACATTGGATCAACAATCTGGATTTTGTGTTTTTAGTTACAAGATGTTGAAGATGTTAACTTCTAAATTTTCAATTCTAATTGTTTTAAATATACTTATCTTAACTTTAAGTCAAATTACACATGATATCGACGATGTCAATAAAATTGTTGGTGGTCAAGTTACTGATATAACGCGAGCTCCTTACATGGTTAACTTACGCCTTGATGGAAAGTTTGCTTGTGGTGGTTCACTAATAAGTCCTACATGTGTCCTAACTGCTGGACATTGTGCATATAAAGTTGAAAGAAGTAAAATGTTAATACAAGCTGGAGTGACAAACCTAACAGAAACTGGTGTAATAGCTAAAGTACGCCGAGCACTTGTTCCAGACGCATATAGAGATGTAAATGGTGCACAACATTATGACGTGGCAATTTTAGTGTTAAACAAAACCATTGAGGATAGAAGAATTGAGACCATTCCGATCTCTTACTCAAGTTTAAGTACAGGTACCAAAATAAATATATTCGGTTGGGGCAAGACTAAGGAAAGCTCTAAGGTTCCATCAGTGCAATTGAAACGTGCCTCAATTGAAGTTATATCAAAAGCATCGTGTAAACGTGCGCTTAGTGATTATTTTGTCAGTAAAACAACTTTTTGCGCTACACTTCCAGGTAGAGACACATGTCAAGGTGATTCGGGCGGTCCAACGGTATATCAAGGAAGGCAATACGGAATTGTATCTTGGGGAAGAGGATGTGCTCGTGTTGCTTATCCTGGTGTTTATACGAGCTTAAAAGAAGTGAGACCATGGTTGGAAAAAACGATAAATCAATATTGCTAAACGAGCACGAAGACATTATGACAAGTACAATAGTCATCTAAAATAATTTTATTAATTCGTATATAAATATGTCAGCAGGGTTTAAGGTGTGACTTATATAATCAACTAATTTACGTGTTAAAAAAATATATATACAATATGTAAATAATCATTATATAATAAATTACTATGTAACCAAATTGTTCAATATTTCCTTAGTGATGTTTATATTCAATCATGGCATATTACTTAAGAGTAAAGATTCCGTGTTAAGTAATGGTATTACAATAGACCGTCTGGTCTAAGTGAGTTAATCAATTTTACTGACTGCCAAAGTAACCTAACCTAATTTATGTGATACTTTACTACTAAGTTTCAATTCCAAATTATAATTATCTTAGTAAATAACTGTATAAAAAATGAGAATTCATCCAATTTCGACTAGAATAAATTTGAATTTTTGATTTCATTTTCCTTTTATATAACTCAAAACCATATAGCCATTCCATGAAAGATCGAATAAGAAGTTCATATTTTCTTAGTTCAAATTTAGGAAATTGACACAAAAGTGGTTTTTAGTTACCACCACATAATCGGCAGAAGCAAAACGTATAACACTTAATAACATACTATGGTATAATATATAGAATAAGAAATAAAAAATACATCTTTATAGAACACCTATTGCCCCACTTCTTTTTATATGGTTAAAAAAAATTTATAGTAAAAAAAACTGATTTAAGAAGCTGAATGCAATAAAAGAAGAAAGTACTACCTTTAGAAAAATTTCTCGTTGAAAAAATTTTAAAATTATAATGCAATTCAAGCCCAGCAATAAAATATAATGCCGCCTCTAAGAACTAAGAACTGGATCAGATAGATACAAGTGTTTTTATTTAGCAAAAGAAATAATTTGTATAATACCAGATGTACGATTCCAGTTTTCATTTCCAAAAAGAGTATCATATTTTGAACTCCAGTAAAAAATTTTAACCTCTTTTCATCTCTTGATAATATGTTAAATAGCACCCATTGTGGTCTCCCAATTTTTCAAATTGATAGCGGTTCACTCTTGTAACCTTTTTTGTAGCAATTAATATATAGGTATTTCAGTTAGCGTGGTTTTACGACCACGCTCTCAGCTTCCTAGCGCTTCTATCATATCTTAGTCTAAACGTACTAACATTTTCTCGTACTTATTTTTCTTAATATTAAAGCACGACTATAACGCTGTCAATTTTCATCCACACAATTAGATCTATTTAACTTAGATTATTATTACAATTATTTTCTTCTTCCGTATTTTAAAAATTCTTTCGATTCTTCCATAAATTTGTTCCATTGAGTTAATAGGTATGAACATAAATCAAACAAATAAAATGAAGATATGAAATTAGAACAGCAACGTAATACAATGCGTTTATTTTACTCATCCTCGTCCTCGTAACTGCAGCAAAGGTCTGAAAGTCCTAACACTCATTCAGAGTCTTATGCATTAGATCTAACTCCAGTCACTTTTTATATTTTTATTTTAAGTACTCTCCTTTGAGAAAAAAATTAGTTTATAATTATATATTTATTTTTTTCTAAATTATTAAATGTTTTTTTTTTTAAATTTCAGTATTTCTTACAACGGATATATCAGCAAATCGTCAAAAATTACATTCGCAGATACAAATCGATATCGGAGAACTGTCAATGCATAGCTCAAATACTGCTAATTTCTATGTATTCAGTCTAATAGAAACAACGATCACATTACAACAAAAAATGTGCTACACATTAGATGTTATGCGACCGAAAGCAATGTCATCCATTGCACTTGCCGATAGCACAACACCAACAAGTACTGATAATTCCCCAGAGAATGCGCGCAATATCACGAATGACTTAGCGCCCGTAACGGTTTTATCTCCGGTGCAAATTGATATAATAAATGATAGAAGGTTGCGAAAGACACGAGAAGATACTTTAACTATACACTGTAATCCAGAATTTAAATTTTCTGGTCGATTTTATACACTCAATAGAAAACCATTAACAAAAATTTATCGGGGTGAAAATTTTTTGCTTCGTGCTAATATTGAAGTAGAGACGGAACAGGATGTTGATATATTGGAAACCTACTTTATTTGTGTAAGCTTCTATCATAATTTTTAAAAGTATAAAACTAAAAAATATGAATTAAATATTTCTAATAATATTATATCATATGTTAAATCATTAGTTCCAACTGTAAAATACACTTTAAAACCAAGTTAAGTTGATATACTAGTAAGATTGAATCTTCAAGCAAGATTCCAATTATTACCACAACTATAGAGAAATGTGTAAATTTATACAAGGAAGAAAGCGAAATACAGACTCTCAGAATATCAGAGTCATTTATTATGACAGCAGCCTAAATTTTGTCTACGTCGTAAGTTTTCAAAATGTAGACAAAAACCAGCTTGTAAAAAATAGATATATCCACAATTTAAGTATTTGTTAGGCATTAAACATATAAGATTCCAAGGACGTATTAAGTTATTAGTAACTCTAACCTGTAGACTTATAGTTTGGAATTATAGTTACATCAGATTGTCTTATACGATATACATAAAACTTTAACAGATTTTCAAATATTATATATTCATAAAAGTGTAACAAAAGATCCTTGCCTTTTTCCAATAATAAATAGTCTTATACAGGGATTCTGGAACCGATTTTGTACATGGATTGACTCCAGGACCGCAATTTTCTAGTTCTAGAAGCTATTTTCAAAAATTTCCGTATTCTTTATTATTTATTATTTATTACGTATTTATTATTTGTTAATATTTTATTTTCAATTATTAATAAACTCACTTTGTTCTTCTCTTCTAAGGATCATAATTTAGTGCAATCAACTTATAGTTTTAAAAGAAAAAAGTATACCAATACTTATCGAAAGGGTGATAAATTAGAGGATGTTATTGTGTTAAGAACTGATGCTGTGTTAAGTGATTGGATAACAGCGAAAGAGTTTGAACGAAGGAAAAGTGAGCCACAACCAAATATTTTCAGTCATATGCGCATAAGTCGAACAAATGGTGCGGGCTTAAACAAAATCGAAAATATGTCTAATAGCAATGCTCTTGGTAAATTAAATATGAGTAAGAGTTTGTTAGGAAAAATCTCCACAAACATGACAATAATAAATAATACTGCCAGTTCAAATGCATTAATGGTAGGAAGTCAGAACTCCAACATGAGTTCTTCAACTATATCGGATGAAGGCAAGACACAAACAACAAATGTAGATTCGGAACAATCACCAAAATTACTGCAATCACGTTTAATTTATAACAAAGCAATGGATGCAATACAAGCAACAGGACATTGTCGAGGTTTCATCAAGGGTCTTGTTACTCTTGAGCAACAACAACTACAGCAGTTGCAGCAGACGCAAATCCAACAGCAGAATGTGCCGATTTTCGGCGTATATTGTATTAAATGGAAGCGTCATGGCAGCAAGGATGAAAATGAATCAAAATTTGTTGTCAGTGGTTTTGAAGTACACGATCCACCACTTAATATTTACTGTACAATTGAAGAGAAAATGTTTGTCAAAATGCCAGTTACATTCAAAATTGTATTAAAAAATCCCACACCTAAAGTGATACACCTGATAGCGACATTAAGCTTGAATCATGCTGATTCATTTATATGCTCCGGTCATAAACAGGTAAGAGAAAACAAATTAATTTTAAGTTTTGGGGAGAAAATACATTAGCATATTCTTATTAATAGATATTCCATTGCGCAGGGTAATAGCACTGTTAGGTGCTATTAGTTAGTAGCTTATTCACTATTATTCACTAGAACTAAAACCCTCGTGCACCAAAGATCTATATATAGTTATTAGACTTCATTACAAAAATAGACTAAACAACGATGATAAAGATTGTCCCATGAACGTAGTACATTTGGGTAATACACATTAAACTATTATTCTTTTAAATAGATTTATTAGTCTCAATGCTCAGTAATGACTAGCAAAATATTCTCAAAAATTTTAAACACAGTTTTGATTCCACTGCACAAAAATGATCTATTAACATTTAACTGATTGCAATTAGTAAACAAGTACTTAAAAAATATATATTAAGGGAACCTACATAACTAGAAAAATTTAAACCAAATTTTTTAGATATTTTTACTCAAGAATTCGCAAAATAGATTTATCGGAAAGTACATACCTATCATTGATGCTTGCGATCCGATCATTCGTTAACGTTATCTCTTTACAAATACTTAAAAATTCTTTCTTGATTTGATTTAAAAACCTATATATTGTTAGTCATCTATTAACACCGATATTCAATATTTAAACAATGATTAAGATTTAAATAATCGAGCACCTAATATATTATATTTTGTTATATTATATTTTATATAAAGTTTTGAGAGGAAGAATATTTTACTACAAAGTGGTGGAAGGAGTGAACTTCCGAAAATAAACAATGAAAACGAGATATTGACGATAATATTCAAACTTTAAAGATAAGGGCCCAGAGAAAGCTAGTGGAAAATAATGAGATATGAAAGCATTTAGTGAGAAAACAATAGTGGTACTATAATGATAGTACCAACAGTAGTTCAAAATTAGTTTAGAACTATAGATATCTAAAATTGATATCTAACAAAACGTGTCTTATAAGCAATGGCTGTTAAACCAAACGGTTAGTATATTCAAAAGTCATGACTACTTTATTGGCTATAGTGGCATCACCATATACTATTTCATAATTAGCGATTATTAGCCGTTGTTATAACTCATTTATCACAATAGATAAATCGATATACATCCCATTGAATTAAAACAGTTCGTTTGTATTTACGTAGTCCAACAGACTGCTGAGAAAGCATTTTCCAAAAACTTAACCTACCTGGTAAACATAGCTTGAAAATCACAAAAAAATTGTTTGAACTTCCTTAACTGCTTAACACGAGAATAAATAAAGTGAGACATGTTGTATCAGCGCAATAGCTACCGAGTTCTCATAACCTACTCCTATGGTGCAAATGTTAAATCGAATATTAAATAACTTCCACATAGATTTGATTAACTTAAGATATTTGAGGCACATCTAGGTGATATTAACCAGGAGGACGTTAATTACTAATCCTAAAGACATATCAATGGATTTATTAAGTCGAGTAAATTTACTTTTTACAGAGTTTTTAGTTACCTTAATAATTCTATGACCGAAAACCCAGATCAACACGATATCGGCAAGTCGAATCATCCAGCCAGATTCAAAAGTCATTAGGCTCATGACTGGTAGAATTTGGTAGAATTGTATTATTGTCAGGAGTTTGTTCAGTAGATCTATAAGTTTACAGCTTGTAAGGTCTAAAATATCGTCTTTTAAATCGACTTACAGTCGATTTTTTGCCCTCGGTTCAAAAGAGCTTGTTAATGAATAATCAAAAAATAAAATAAACCAATTTTATTTTACTTTAAATTTTACCACTTAAAATTGATATTTGCACAACAATGGTTAAATTAGTACTCTTTTTTTAAAAACAAATTACAATAACAAAATATGAAATATGAAATAAATATGAATATATAAAATACATAAATACCATAGAGTATTAAAAGAGATTGGATTTAACATCGTCCTTTTCGTGAAATATAATAGTAGTCATATTTTATTAATTAAATGAAAATCTTTCATGTTCTAAACACATGTTAATCAATTTAATAATTTGATCTCTAGTGACTAAAAGCTAAACTCTAAACAAGTTAAAATTCTTAAAGAACTATATAATATAAATGAATTATAAAAAATCTTTTTCAATATTCTTTCCTTTAATTATTATATTACACATTATTGTTGTATATGTAGTAATAATATTGTTATATTTTTGTATAATATAGCTTGATATCTCCATATTTGCGTTTGGTGAAAAGGAACTTGTATATAATCTGTATCCACTTCTTGTTGGATGGCAATATCTTCCGGAATTAACTTTAGAATATAATACTCAAACGGATCCTAGTAAAGATGAGTCGCAAAATATTTTACTTAGTGAATTGGTGCAACATTCCATGCCTAAAAAGGTGTTCATATTGGTAAGTATATGCCAATTACTCCATGGGCCTATTTACACTATCATGAACGTGAGATGAACTTGACGACAACATGAACTGTCAGTTCAGTTTACACTATCATGAACTCTCATGAGCGTGAAATTTGTTTTGTTTTGTGTAGACGTATAAAATGCTTATGTGTAGTAGTGCATAGCACAGAAATAGAGAGTATTCAGCATTAAAAGGTAAACATAAACATAACATTGCATATGTATGCGTGTCAAGCTGAAGAAACGCAACAAATTTCATTGCGTGAAATTCATGAACTAGCACCACACTCTCTTCTCTCTCTCATCTATCGGTTACCGATTTTCAAGTTCATGTTACGTTCATGATAGTGTAAATAGGCCCCATAATTTAAAATTTGAATTAAATTTAAACTAATTCAATATAATTCCTTACTATAGCCCCCACTAAAGCAACAGAATAAATAATTTAATCTTCGCCACAAATTAGTTGACGGAAGGCAAACTCAGCAATAAGCCAAGAAGCATTATATCCCATATTTGTAAATTATTATTGTATTTAGTGTAGCAAATTTTAGTAAATTGTTGCAAACTAACGATAACACAACTATAAACATAAGTTTTATAAATTATGTTTAGAAATATGTATTATTAAGTTATTTGTTGTTGTTGTTTTCGTAATGTTTTTGCAGTTAAATATTTCAAATATTGTATATCAGAAATTATTTCAAATAGATTTTCGATGTTGTATTTAAAACAAATATTAAATAAAAATATGAAAATGTTTGTATAATTGCGTTTTTTACGACATTTTATTACTGCATATAATTGTTAAATAAATAGAGATACAAATATATGTATATATATATTTTCCAATAAAAATTAAAACATAAAAGCTGTAAAATAGTGTAAGAAACTTTTAACAAAACAAAAAAAAAAATAATATAAAAATATTACGGAGTTTAACATGAATACAATAAAAATGTACAACTATTTTTTTTTTATTAAATTACTTAAATATTTTTGTCTCTTTGACCACTTTTTTGTTATATATAAATAATACTTTAATTTCATATAATTTCCTTTAGTATTTTAAATAAATTCAGTGTTAGTTTTGACGTCATTTGTTGCTTGAAGCAAATTTAAAAACTCCCTTTCTTTGGCTGCGATTTTCACTCTGAAAAAAAAAAAGTAAATAAATAAAAATTGAAATAAAATAGTAAATAAATATTATATTTAATGTTTTTTTTTTAAAGAAGTTATAAATTATGATAAAATTGCTTTATAAGTTCTTTTATAGATCTAAATATATTTAACAAAGAATTATAATTATTATATATAACACTACTTCTAATGAAGATGCCTACCTAACCTACTATAAACACGAACTTGAATCTGATTAATTTATGGTTTATCTGTTTACATGACACACTACAAAGCCGAACTTAAACATTATCAATTGATGACGAATGTTGTTGTAGTAATAACCCGTGAAGTGTAATATGATAAACAACATAAAAGGATTTACAATTACTAATACATAGGTTAGGATATGATTGAGTAATGGAACTGAGAAAGTAGAGTTCTGCGAATTGTGCGGGAAAAAGATTGGAACCTATCACCTTCAATGGCATCGAGCATAGAGACATGACTCATTAGTTTGTTTTAATTACCACCGCACCAGCCATCTACATTTTCTCTTTCACCGTCTCATAACCTCCATCCAAATTCCATTTCATACCCCACATTTGTCATGAAATTCATTTATATTTCTGATCCATCGATTTTTTCAACTTATCACAACAACAGTATCAAAATTAATAAATAAAATACTAGTGCTTGTCAATAAAAACTCAGCACTCAAATAAATACTTTAAACTTGGTTTAATAAACGATATTTTCATTATCACAGCCATTTCCTTTCACTGTAATCTGTCTTTATAGGTTCTGTACGATAATTCATCACGACATGGGAGGGTAAGTCATACCAGTAAAGACAATATCAAACCAATACATTAAAATAGTTTACTGATATATTTATCACCATCACCAATACTTTTAACTTCAATTGGTCTTAATTGATTCTGTACAAAATCAATTATGAGAATTGGGTTGATTGGGTCATTTTGATTTGTCATCCCAGCAAAGGGAATATCAAATAACATGCTTTCGCTAAATAAGATAGAGTTAAGAATTCTAATTGCGTTTATTTTACAGGCCACTGCAACCTAACGTATCATTTGAATAAATTGATTATTTCCGACACTGATGTCTGTTGATATTGTGTAATGAACATAGAAACTTGTTAAAATAACCTGTTCTTGACCAGAAGAGGTTTTCTTATTTAAATGGCGTTGTTATGCCTCCGTATAAACTCTGAATCTTCAAACGAAAGGTATCCAGACTTGCTTGCGGAATACCGGATCATAGGGGGTCATATACACCTATTCTATATTTTCTCCGAACGTAATTCGTATATAAATAGGTGTCGTAGGTAGATACAACTGTGTTTATGCTCTATTTTTATTTTATTTATTATTTTTATATTTACTCATAGTTTTAGCTATGCGTTCTACTATTTCTTCTCCATTTTCTACCATATCCTTTTCTCAGAACAGTATAAAGCCGACGAACTATAAAACAATGATATTGTATATTCGATTATATATTCATAGCGAATTGAAGATGGCCAGCTAGTTTTATTCCATTTTAAATATCTACTCTATAACTTTTAAAGATAAGATTTATAATAATCTCTTAATTATATGAAAGAAACAGCACTCATTTTATTGGGATTATATGTGAAAACAGCAGTTATTTTATTAATAAATCCCAACAAAATAGTACTTTATTATTACTACTATTACTATATTATTATTAATACTACATTAATAATAATAATTAATACTAATTTTAATATAATCAAGCAACTCACCGCTAAGCGATTACCAAAAAGCATTCTTGCTTTATCTTCTTCTTGTGGTGAGGTACGTTCTCCTGCTAGAGTGTTTGGTTGTCGCCGGTGTATTTGTAATTTTTGTTTAATAGCCTGAGATAAGATAACACGCCTACTGACAGATTTCATAGCCAATAATAAATCTAACCAAGTCCATGTAACGTTATGATATTCCAATGTTGGTATTGTTAGCGAAAAATCGGTTATATCTTCGAGATTTTTTTCTTTATTTCCCTTATAACTGACACGCACAGGTACCTCAGGTATTTTAATATATATAAACAATTTGTTCTTCTCGGCGCGTTCCTTCATTTTTTCCACATCATCCTTTTCTATTTTTACATAAAACTCTGAGTCTTTGGAACTTTTTTTTGCTTTCGCAGTCTTTTTAGCCGATTTAGACTGCACACTAGAAGAGGTAGAGGAACCGGAGGAATTCTCTTCAATATCATCATTTGTTTCAGTTTCTAGAGCGTCGCGATCAGGAAAACAAAATTTTAACATTGTGCTATAAAACTTCTTAGTTATAGCTATAGTAATAGGCGCCACATTAATCTCGAAATGCTCCTTTACTGATATTCCTCCTACAGGTGGTTTTTCGCGACAAAATATACGCAACACGCGTTTATGCGTATCCACTGGCATATCCTTTTGTATTTCTGTTGGCATTATGACTTCACGATATATTTCACGTGGTATTAAATTACTCATGCGTATATTTCCTAATTCTAGTAAATGTTCCACTGAGTCATCGCTTTTCGATTTTTTGGTATACAAGAAACCACTAAGCACCAGATCGGCAATACCGATCTGTCCATCAGTTTCAGTTAGACGCCATTGAGCGCGCTTAAAACAAATTTCATTTGCACGTACAATTGTTAGAGATTTATCAGCACGTACCTGTAAATTAAGAAACAATTATTATATACAATAAATAAAATTTTTTAAAAAAAAAATATTTTATATACACAAATACATACATTTGATATTTTACTAAGTTGAGATAGTTGGGTCTCTTTGTAACAGAGTAACATCATGTCTATTTCTTCACTTAATGTATTCAACTCCTCTTTACTTTCTCGTATTTGTTTTTGCACCCTTTCAAATTCAAGCTTTAACTCCAGTGTATCGCCCTCTTCAGCGCGTTCTTTACTGATCAAATGTATATCTTTCTCCAGTGAACGTATTTTCATTAACAAACTACGTATAAGTGTTTGTTTTTGTTGTATGGGGCGTTTTTGATCTTCACTTGAATGCAGTTGTAATTGAAAGCGCATTCTTGCGAGTTTTTCCAGCGCTTGCTTGCGTTGTGGTTCCACATAAAGTAATAAATTGTTAACAATATCCAATATCATAGCATACTGAAGTGAGTTCGTACACACATCTAAATCATGATGCATAAGCGTAAAGGCATCTACAGGATCATCCTGTTTCTCCCAAGGTGAAAGCGTTTCTTCAGATGGCGGTGGTGGCACTTCAGTTATGGAATTAGGATCAATAGTGTCACCATAGCTAACATAAAAAAATTCACATTTACAACGTGATACAATACGTTGCAATTGCACTGGTTGCGTTTCACCAGGATGTTCAATTGACGCAGCACCCACAGTTTCTGAGACAACACCACCCACACTTCGTCCACTACCCACCAAGTGCGGTATATCCGGCAAATCATGTATAACAGTATCATCTTTATCCTAATGATAAAAAGTTATTGTTACAAAAGTACAAGAAAAAAAATTATAATGTTAAATATTACTTGTATATTATCTACAGTCAACCACATAATCTCTTTTTCTAATAATGAATCGTTTTCGCCAGCGCTAACAGTGGCGTAGTACTGCATGCATTCCAAGAGACCCTTCCAAGTTGTCTTTGATATCAAAGATCTATCACGCCATACAGGTCGATGCACACGTTGCAAAATTTCTGCTTTCGCAGCACTAATTATAACATAACCTGAGGTTTCACAGCCTTTTAAGAGTACTTGAGAATTCACCAGTGATATTGACCAGTTTTCGTGTATGACGTCGAGTGCACAACAAGCCTGTAAGCCCTGTAATTGCAATTCGCGTGATTGCGTATTTTGATCATCACTGTAAACATTAAATTTATGATCTGCCTCTGCAATCAATTGCTGCAACATTGCAGTTGCATGACTAGCGGGTTGAGGTTTCTTCAAAGTTGCATTACCAGCAGCCACTACAAGAAAACCACAGAGATTAAAGTACAAACATATATAGAATTAAAAATAAAAAAATTTTTGTTGTTGCAATTTCACTACTGTTCGGTAAAAACCTCTCTATTGAAAATAATAATTTATATCAAGAATTTAGTTTAGAATTCGAATAAAACTTACTGGGTATTCCTTCGGCTGTGTTATTAGCTAAAGTTATTGTGCTATCGCTACGTTTATTTTTTATGAAAGACGATGCTCCTTCTTTTCGATAGCTCTTCACCGCTTCGGTCGAAAGATTATTCTTTAGTTTTTGTGACTTCATAAAAGAATCAAAAAGTGCAAAAGCAACGTCTCGATTATTTTTTGTCCAAGCACCTTTCAAATCGTAAACCACTAATTTATGTGTAGGCGTTGAAGTTTTTGTTTTCGCTTCCTCTTCGTTAGTTGTTGTATACAAAGCAGCTTCACGTCCGTAAGATACTTTAGCTACGCTTAAGAAGTAAAA